AAAGACATGATATCGTTTCCTGGCCTGCTTCCTGACATCCTCTGTGATAGGGATCGATGCAAAGAATTCATTTATCTTCTCTCCTACGGCCTGCTCTGGCCTCTGAGCGCCCCTTTTCCACCTAATTCCCACCACCTTTTCTCTTGCCTGACTTCCTGGCAGACTTCCAGCTTCTGATTAGTGTTGGCAAGCCAGTCAATTGACCAATTAAATATTGCCAATTGACTGCATATTGTTGACTGGTCAAAGATGATAGCAATTTTACAAAAAAAGTGTTTGTTTGTTTTTTTAAATAGTTTCCTGGACAAAAATATGATTTTATCATTTTTGACACATTTCTTAATGGAAAATGTATACACTTTTCTGTGTATTATTTGGGCCTACTGGCAAATTTTATACAATTTTTGACTGATATTTGACCTGTCAATCAACCAAGCAAATCCCTAACCCCACTTCTGATGGCACCCTGTAGGGGAAAAAGTGCATGGAGGATGATTACGTGATGTAATACTGCCCTCTCATGGTAATCTTTGTTTTTACAGGTTTTACAAAAATAAAAGATCCCTTATTTACTTACAATTTAACGCTTGCCCTCACTGAGGCAGCATAAAGAAAAGCATAGCTAGCGGTTGGCATCCCAGACTCTTGCACGTAAGCCTCTAGAAAGGTGCGGTCTTCTCTGACTCTTTTCACACGTTGTCTTCCAAGCCTGACGTGAACATTAACTGATATTGAGACGTTACTTAAGGCTCCCTGCAAGATTGAAATGGGAATACTTATCATCTGATACAGGAAAACTGAGACATAAGGAGATGAAGTGCTTTGCTAATTAACACACTGAACCAGTGCCAAAGCAAGGAAGAGAACCCAAAAGTCCTGATTCTAGCTGCTGTAAAACAGTGTCTCTTTTGCAGTACGTGACAGTCATTTTAAATGCACACACAGATTTCCAATTATTTCACAAGGTGCTTGACAAAGTTCCTAATATTTCTTAAAATGACAGCATTTTTCCATCTTATAGTTTGGTCTAGCTTACTGGGATTTAAGCCCCAAAGCCTGCCACCGTTAGGGGTTCCTTTCCCCGTTGAGTTCTTGCTACTTTGACTAGCACCATAGACCGGATAAGAGATGCATCTGGAGAAAGATATACCCAAGGACCCATTGCACTACTCAACCCTGTATTGTAGCAGCCTGTGGTCATTATTAACTGCACTGTAAGGCACAGGGTCATAGAAAAATAGGCTGGAAGGGACCTCAAGAGGGGTTGGAAGGGACCTAGAATACCCCTTGGCTGAGTTGGGATCATCTTGTTGGAAATGTTCTAGTCCAGTGTTTATCTAACTGCTTATAGACCTGTATGTAAACCTTCCCCGTATAAAAAGCCTAGTGGAACAGTTTACTTCCATTTGTGGGTACCTAGCTGCAAGTCTAGCCTGAGGTCACATGGGAAAAAAATTTGGGAGGTTGTATCCAAGTCCCCCTCATTGTCCACCTTCACCGCGTTTCAAGAAACCCATGCAGTGCACTCTCTGCACAAGAGACATTTAGGCTTCAGTGCAGCGAGCTACAATTCAGCATGACATGCACTGGCAGTGAGGTGAAAGTTAAAAAAAAAAAAAAAAGATAAAATTAATTAAAATTTTGAAGACA